AATATGTCTCTGGCCCCCTAGCCCAGCGTGAGGGCTGTCCAGTGCATACCGTTTATGCAGTTGTGACCTGATTCCATCCCTAACGAAGGGATCCAGGCGGTGGATGTACAGACCTCATCTGGCATAGCTGTACAAGGTGGTGCTGCAGAAGTACGAATGTGAAAAACGACGCACTAATAATCGAGGCTATCGAAAAGGCAATGTTTAAATGTCAGGTTACCGAAATCAAATAAGATACATACAGGGTTAGCTTTTAGTGTGGAGTCGGTAGATAGCTCCTTTATTATAAAATATCTACGAAAATTTTAGGCAAATATAGGCTCCTTACATTTGAAACGTGCTACTTTTTACAAGGTAATTTCGTAACCACGTGGTAACACATACGTTGTTAAATGGAGTACCTTGTATAGAAGTTCCACCTAGGGTTTGGAAGGATACTTCTGGACCAAAGGGATACTTTGTTTAAAAAAAAACACCCAAGTTTGAGGGCTTGTAAGTCAGTCATTTTTAGAGTAGTAAACTTTTCATCAACGTCAGTTTTACAGCCGCTGTTCCTCTAGTTTCTCGCCATTTGAGATTTTATGCATCGCCTATATAAACGCAAAATTTAAATGTAGCAGTCGCTGTTAAGTTTCTGAGCTTTTCTTTTTAGAAGCTTTATCTGGGCACTAACATTTTGGGAAGTGCTATTGCTAAATATTTGAGTTATTTGTTGTTTCCCAGAAATTACAATTCAAAATAAAGAAATAATACATGATTCTTCTTGGTAAGGACAGGAGCAAGCGTCTTCCTCCACTGAAAGGGAACATGCGGTATTTACGTTGAAATTTAATTTCTGGATAACTGCCAAAAACACAAAACAAAAAATACAAATTCAACTCCTCAAAAATGGTATGCCTGAATAAAGCTTAGAATGAGGATAGCTCAAAACCGTAAAAACACTGTGTGCGACTTGATTTTTTTGAGAAAAAGTACATTTTTCATTTATATATCCCTTGTATAGATCATTCACAGAAACTGAGATATGAACCCTCTTTTGACAGAAAGATTGCTATACAGTAACTGTAAAAGTTACTGATTTACAAGCTGTCGATGTTGAGTGCACAAAATATTCCATAGGTCCAGAAGCTATGTTATGTGAAACATCTTCCGTTGAAGATATTGAACTATGCAGGTTACTCCAGTTAAAAGGTATGTAGTTGTGGATCACCCAGTAGAGAGCAATATATACTAAGTGAGATATAAATCCGAACACTCAGTTTAAATGGTTTTATTTTAATAAAATTTTGTATAAGTACTTAATGAAGCATAATAAGTAAATGATAAAAATTTCAAAATGATTGCACTGCTTTAAAGCCCTTTGACCTTTAATAATTTGTGGATGCACCTTGATGTGCTACGCATTCTCCAACGCGCCTAAGCATGCTTCTGATCAGGTGGTCAATGTCCTCCTGTCGTATCTCATTCCAGGCAACCACCAACTCCTCTCGAAGTGCTTCTAGAGTCTGAGGAGGACGTTGCAAATTGAGCAATCTCCTACCCATCATATCCCACACGGGCTCAATTGGGGATAAGTCGGGAGATCTTGGTGGCCATGGTAACAATGTGACATCATTATGTTGAAAGCAGTCTATTGTGACTCTTGCAACATGTGGTCGGGCATTATCTTGTTGGAAAGTTGGATCTGCCAGGGTGTCAAGATAGGGTAAAAGATGGGGTTCTAGACTTCGTGGATATAACGCTGCGCGTTCATGTTACTTCTGATGAAGATTAAAGGTGACCTGGAACCATAAGCTATAGCACCCCAAACCATAACTCCAACAGTGTGATGAACATGTCTTTCAACAAAAAACTGTGGATTCCTCCTTTCACCACGTCGCCTTTTAACCCTGGCACGACCATCGTGCATGCCTAAACAAAATCGAGACTCGTCACTAAAGACAATACTCTTCCATTCCTGATCCCAGAGTGACCGTTGTCTGAACCACTCAAGGCGATTACGTCGGTGTTCTCGAGTTAAAGGGAGGACCCAGTGTGGCCGGTATGAAAACAAGCCAAAACTTCTCATTCGTCGGTAGACACTTCGCATGCCAATAGGTCTTCCGTGTTCTGCAAACCATTCATTTGCAATGGACCTGGTAGTGGAGAAACGGTCCCTTAAGGCCAATAATCTTAGGCGGCGATCTTCATGGTATGTTGTTCTACGGCGACGTCCAGTGCCCCTTGCTCTTTGCGTACGGCCTTCTCGAACCCATGCCTGACAATACCTAACCACAGTATCTACACTTCTTTGCACTCTAACTGCAATTGCCCGAAAAGAAAGTCCAGCTTCCCGAAGTCCCACTATACGGCCCCTATCAAACTCACTAAGTTGACGAAATCGTACAGGTCTCCGTACTCTAGGCATCGTAACCGATCGTAAAGGATGTCAAGAACCAAAATCCGCCAACGTTGATTCTTTACTGCGGCTGAAATATTCATTTTTAGAGCGTTAGTGAATTAAAAAAAAGCAGTATAAAAACCGGAATGTCCAACTGATAAGGCTGAAAATTTTTTCACTTGTTATTTACAGTAAGATAAATACATTCACCAACTTTTATTAAAATAAAACCATTTAATCTGGGTGATCGGATTTATATGTCACTTAGTATATGTTCCAGGTAATATGCGTATAATTGCTTACAATTTTGATAAATAGGTTCTTTAGATATCTTCTGAGATAACTGAGCTGTTAACTTTTTACACATGCAAAGGTTTTCCAAAAAAGCGTCAGTTGTTAATTATACAGGGTTATCCAAATTAAGTGTCCACCATTAGTAACTTTGTTATTAGTGAAAATACAAAGTTGTTTGAATTAGCAAACTAGTAGCATTTTTAACGCTGGTAAAAATGAGAAATAAAAAAAACAATTGAGAGTCGTTATTTTGATTTTTTTTAGTAAAATAACATTTTTTTAAATGGAAACCCCTGTATATTATATTTTTTTCTGTTAAAGCATCAAATTTTAAACAAAAAAGTTCATAGTGACTTTTCCGCTAAAGTCAAAAATAAAGTCAAAATAACGATAAATATTTTTAATTATTTGCAGTATTATAATATTAAGACGGCTATGAAAACAACATGGCGTTCGCGATTTGACAGCATTAAGATAAGCGACAAATTGTTAAACTGGACATACTCGCAACTAGAAGGCTTTGGAAAACAATGATAAAATCAGATAATGTCAAACATTAGTGTAAATACTTGTTTATAAGCTTTATTGTGTCATTAATTTAAAGAAAAATGTTCTCCCATGAAGAAAAGTGTGATATGTTAGAATGCTATTTAGTGTGCAGAAAATCCTCCTTGAGAGCAAGAGAATACTACAGTGAATTATATCCCGCTCGCATTCAACCGTATGAACGATATTTTCTGAGACTTTATCGAAAATTTAAGGGCAACGAAAATGTTTTTGCTAAAACAAGGGCAAAAAAAGAATTCATAATAAGCGAGGCCACGGAAATTGCAGTTATTGGATATTTTGAAGCTTATCGTGAGAATTCAATAGCAGATATTCTCAAGGACTCTAATTTCAGTTATGGTACTGTTCAAAGGATTTTAAAAAAATACAAATTTATTCCGTATAAGTACCGACCAGTTCAAACGCTTTTGGCAGGGGATCCAGAGAGAAGACTTGTTTTTTGCCATTGGTATCTTAGCTTCTGTCGCCAAAATGTAACTTTCGTTACCTTTTATGGACAGATGAATAAAATTTTTCAAATTCTGGAATGTTTAATAGAAAAAACCACCATTATTGGTCAAGAGAAAATCTTTTGTTAGTACATCCAAGAGGCCCACAAGTCCGTTTCAGTTTCAACGTTTGGTGCGGTATAATTGGTTCTTTTATGAGGGAACCCTAACTGGTGAAAGATATGTGGAATTTATGTCAGAAATTCTGACTAATTTCTTAGACGAATTGGATCTTATAAGTAGACATCATCTGCATTTTCAGCAAGATGGCGCACCTGCCCACAACTCCAGAGGTACTTATCATTTTCTAAGTACTACTTTTAATGATCAGTGGATAGGAACAAATGGCCCAATACAGTGGCATCCCAGATCACCAGATCTAAACCCACTTGATTACTTCTTGTGGGGTTACTTAAAGAACCAAATTTACAAGCGAAGGTACGATAACCTTGACGCGTTAAAGACTGCAGTTAGGGAAAAGATAACCCAGATAGATGGTAGGACCATACTTAAGACAGTTCGAGCAGTTGAAAAACGTGCCCAAAAATGTATTGAAGAACAAGGTGGTGTTTTCGAGCATCTTCTTTAAAAAAAATTGTTATTGTATTTTGTAAGATAATAAGTTGATGTTGAAAATAAAGTTTGTCGATACAATTTAATTGTTTCAGATTGGAGGCCATAACTTCAACAATTTGTAACCTAGGAGAAAAGTTATTGTAAGCTTTTTTGTTTAAAATTTGATGCTTTAACAGAAAAAAATATAATATACAGGGGTTTCCATTTAAAAAAATGTTATTTTACTGAAAAAAATCAAAATAACGACTCTCAATTGTTTTTTTATTTCTCATTTTTACCAGCGTTAAAAATGCTACTAGTTTGCTAATTCAAACAACTTTGTATTTTCACTAATAACAAAGTTACTAATGGTGGACACTTAATTTGGATAACCCTGTATTGTTTTTGTCAAGTGTTTGTAAGTTATGAGAAATGAGATACGATATGCATTACTGACAATTATTTTAATGGAAACCCAATAACCTTGAGTATGATACAAGAAATTTGAGCGGCAGCGATTTTTTTTGTCAAAAAAAGCATCAGTTGCTAACCAGATTGGTTTTGTCAAGTGTTGCAAGTTATGAGAAATGTTTGTAGTACTGACTTATCAGTTGAAGTGGATCTGTTCAGGTATTCTAAAAGAAGTGGCTTTATCTTAGGTATCATTTTCCTATATGTATAAGGAGAGGTTTGATAATATTCTATAGAAATATTGTGATGAATTGTATCGGTAACCAGTAATTTTCCAATTGATATTGAAACAACGTATTGACGCTGGACATGGCGTTGACCAATTTCAGCGGTGTAAGCTCATTGCCTACAAACTATGAGTATTTTGCATCTGGTGGTGCTAAGAATGGCCTTTCGGTCAATGGCTCCACAATGAGACTAAATGATAAAGAGGTGTTCATCTATAGCGGGGCCATGCATTACTTTCGTGTACCTAGGCCCTACTGGCGAGACAGGTTGAAGAAAATCAGGGCTGCGGGGTTGAATACCGTGGAAACGTACGTTCCTTGGAATTTACATGAACCTAGGTCTGGTGAGTACAACTAATCACTACTACATTCGAACCGGGAATCTTAGACGTAGCAGTTGGAATATTATTTTATATACAGGGTGTCCCACGCGATCGAATACTCAAAAAATAAGCGTATGACCGGTATGAAAATGCAAGTTTATAGGAAAAATTATGTTCTTGCTTTAAGTTATGACCAGAAAGAAAATCGAATGAACAGAAACCTACTAGATCGTTTCACTTGAAACTTTAACACAGAAGTTCTCACTCTTCTCAGACGTTCTCTCGGCTCGAGAGATCAGACATATGGTCATTCATTCACTGGTGTCGCATTCAACAGCGATAGTTTTAGAATCCGTACATTTAGATCAAGGAATGATTCGACCAATTCAACAGCTGGGAGAAATGGGCAGTCGTTCACGTTAAAATGGTAGTAAGACGAGATCCGAGGAAAACTTAAAAACACCTTCCGGCTGTAATGCACTTGAAGTCTTGAACCTCCATTACAGTTGAATATCTGAGTTAATTACATCTAATTTATTAGAATCATACCTATATGACCGAACAAACATTAAAGCAGAGATGCTGGGGACTTTTTTACTTTTTCTCACTTTTATCGATCCATCTCACTTTTACTCGATTTTCATTGAAAACATTCACTTTTCTCGCAGTGCATATTCTCGAAGGAAATGCCAACGTTCTCTCAAGGCCCCACGAAATTGAATGAAGTGAATTTTTTTTATAAAAATTGACTATGACATAATTGTTTATGTGGGATCTCCTCAAGCTGAGCCAATATGTGTTACATGAGAAATTACTAGGATTAGTTGAAATCTATGTTGAATTTCGATTTAGCTTTGCTGAAAGCACTCTATAAAACCTTCGGAAAAACCATTATTATACATTATGATGAGGAAGAGAGATGGAAATATACAAAAGTATGTAGGTGCGTGAATGACACTCGATTGTAGGATCCTATCTGGCAGCATCGGAGTGTGACGGACAACGGGGTAAAGTAGAAGAGTGATAAAAGAGAGATGGCAGAACGGGCGCTGGCGCCTGCCGCTTTAGACGGATGCGCTCAACAAATGCGATTTGTTTCTCCCATTCGCAGAGTTGCCGATACCAATATGTCATATTTCTAAGAAATCTAAGTCTACCCAAATTTCGGGAAAAATAGCTGCGGATTCCACATAAGAGTATTCCAAAAATGAAAAAAGTTCAAACTATTAAAATTGTATTAATGTTTCATGGATCAAATCATAATTTTCATGTTTGTATATTGTTGTATAAATAATTTTGTAATCCCTATTCTTGTTGTCAGTAGAGATACAACAGTATTGAGAGAAATCATGGACCGCTAGATAGGGCTACAACTACCATATGACTATCAAATAATAGTGATAAACAGGGTTTGTTTATAGCACAGTTGCCTGGTGTGGCGAATTTGCGCCATAGGGGCGATTTGACAACTTTGAAGGACAACTATAACGGGTACTATGGTGCCCGGTATTCGGGAATCTGGAAATACCTGATGATTCCTAACGTTTATTACGCCAGATTGTTTGCTGACTTGCGCAGTACAACATGACAATCAACGTGACTGAGCACCTGGTAACCCTGGTTTAAGGTGTTATATTTAAAGAGCTTGGGGCAGTTAGGTATCTAGGTCACATTTTTTAATGTATTTCGAGAAATCCGTAATGTTGAGTAAATACTAGATCACGTTTCTTGCTTAGTTTGCTGAAAATTCTACAATAGACGAACATTTTGAGAAACAGAGATTTGGTGACGACAAAATCGTAAAAATATAACGCATTTTCGTAAAATAATTTCTTTGTTGAAAAGACCCATTGAACGAGTATAGTGTCCCGCTCCGCTTTGAATATTCGAAACACTATACTCCAGCAGCATTCAGCTTCAATGTTATCTTTATGAAGTTCTAACGTCTAGGCCATGCTGATTAAAAGCTTGAATGAATCAACACTTAACTCTAAATTCCCCACAATTCGGGAAGCTCTACTCAAATTGGCAACACAGCGTATCTGCCTATTATTCTCATTCGTGATACAGATCTGCGGTCTGCTGCAAATTTCAGTATGCGTTGAGTCGACAGAAGAAGTACAGTAGATGCGCGCATTACGCACCAGTTCGATTGGACGTCCTGTGAACCGATTTCGGTGATTTCGAGATTTCACGAAATCACCTAAATCACTCTACTTATTTTTATGAATGGATAATTGGTTTTGTAGCAATAATAATAATAATAATAATAATAATATGTCTTTATTTTCTAGATAAATTGTAACAAACAAAAAAAAAACTCATTTGATGAGGGACGCGGCATTCAACATAGTTGCTCTTCCATGCAACCCCCGTAAATAATACAATACTAACAATTAGATGATAATGAGCGAATAATGATGGGTGTAATTAATACAACAAAAATAAAACTAACTATTGTGCTCTTTTCACATGGGATTTGACTCTATTTCGGAAGCTGCTAAGTGAGATCGAATCTTTTACTGCATCTGGCAATGAATTATACGTAGTAGATGCAACATAAGTAAATGAGTTTTTAAACTGTTCAGTACTATGTAACGGAACATCATAGAGATTACAAGAACGAGTTTCCCTATCATGAAGATCCGATCTCTTAACAAGTTTGGTATATAGGTAAAGTGGCAAATAAAGGTTGCGTCTCATAACAAAAATAAGAAGATACCCACTCTAACAAAAAATAGTACACTCTTAAAATGTGTAACGAAAATAAAAAGATATTCTAACAAAAAAATAAGTTCTCAAAAATAAAACGCAATAATGAACACAAATGTTTCAAATGGTCCTTCACAGCTGGGGCTCAAAAACGTCTCCTTCATTCAATGAACAGTATGTCAGGCGGTTATAAAACTCCTGACGAACTCTCAAGAGGGTAGAAGGCTGTATTTGCCCGAGCGCTTCAACGATTTTCACCTGTAGGTTATGCAAATTGTCTGCTCTCTCATTGAAAGTGTAAACAGTACTTTTCACATAACCCCACAAGAAAAAATCATTGGGCGCTAGATCGGGTGATCTAGGAGGCCATTTTATTGTTCCGTTACCGCCAATAATCCGGTGGCCGAACACACTTTCAAGGTAAGTGTGTACGATCGCCGCATTATGCGCCGGGCATCCATCTTAATGGAACCAAATATTAGCGAGATCAATGCCAAGCTGCCTAATTGCAGGAACAATCTGCGTCTGTAGTAACGCCAAATATTTTGCAGCCGTAAGAGTTCCTTCAATAAAGAACGGTCCGATAACGTTATTACCTAGAATTCCTGCCCACACATTCAGTTTCTGTGGATACTGCGTGCGGACGGGAATACTGAGGTGTTCATTTTCCCGAGACCAATACCGAACGACTGAAGGATTGTGATGACCGTGGAGAGGGAATGTGGATTCATCAGTAAACAAAATGTTACCAATAAAACTTCCATCCCTGTTCGCCTTCTCCATGACCGTTTCACAAAACTCCATTCGACGGTATTTGTCTAAAGGAGATATTTCTTGAACCGTTCCAACCTTGAAGCTATGATAGCCGTTGCGATGCAAAATATTTCTTGTTGTTCTGGGTGTGAGATCGGCTATTGGTACCATTTCAGCAATTTTTCTGCTTGAGCATGGCTCAGATACCTCTGCAGCGGCACAAACAGCAGTTTCGATATCCTCCCTTTTCTCGCTAATTTTTGGTTTCCAACCTTCAGGGTGCATGCAGCTATGGCACTTATGTAAGCAGCCCACCCTCTTGAATTTTTCGTAGGTATTTATAACCGTTGCGTGAGACGGAATTGGCCGATCTGGGAAGCGTACCGCAAATAATTCAACAACCGCGCGTGCTGAATTATTCTGGATGTACCATTCTATCATTTGAAACTTTTCTTCTTGCGAGTACATTTTTAAGATATTTTGGATTAAATAAAGACGCACCTTTCCTACACAAAACCCAACCGCAGAGTAAGTCATGAATCCCTTATCGCACTTGACGACGGCACGCGCGTTAACCGTAGGAAATATGTACGAATAGCGATGAAAGTAGACGAGCCGATGCGCTGTTGCCAAGAAATGATTTCCCATGTATAACAATGGTTTTTCCTAAGGTGTATATATGCTCTAAGGGGTTTCAAATTCGGAAACGGTGAGCAATACAATACAAAATTGCTTATGAAGGCAAAGTTGCGCATCTAGGTAACTAATAAAATATTTAGTACTCAGTTACTTAATTGGCAATTCAGAGTACTTTTAGAGAGACAGAACATACGAATTTACCCTGAACGGTTTTCATTTTCTCCAGGGTTGACTTGAGCAGGGAATTCAATATCGATTGCACTAACAGTGGCACATTTTACAAGCCTTGAAAAAATAAATTGTTAGTATGTTAATTCTTTAGTATGCATGTGTGGGACAAATGTTGAAACTGAATTTTGAACCAATTAACAATATATGATGAATCAACTTCTGCCATTTTAAATCTAATATAGCGTATTCTACCTAATCGCGATTTATTATTTCCTAGTATATTAGTATATTTCATAGCAAAAGATATGGGTATCAAATAAAAGAGCTTGATGAGAGAAACATAATAAGCAAACTGACGTCACTCTAAATCCAAAATAACGGAGGTCGTAAATTGGCGATTTAAAATGTCTATAGTCACCCCTATAATATGGGCTGCAGAAGAAAGGGCTCGAGAGAAACAATAAGCAAAATATCATTTCAAGTCAACTATGTTGACCGCTGCAAGATGGCGTTTATAATTATTTCTTTAGTTACCCCTATGATATGGTTATCGACTAAATGGGCTTGACGAGAGAGATACAGTATGCAACGTGATGTTATTCTAGATCCAATATGGCGGCCCTCGCCTCCATATTATGGGTGTCAAATGAAATGGATTGATGAAAGAAACTCAATAAGCAAAATTATGTCATTCTCATCCAATATGGCGGACGTTTAATATGAAAATTGAGAATGCAATATTATTATGACATGGAGATGGTCTGATGATGAAGTCAGGAGGTGGCCATGGGAACTCAAAGTCAACTATTGTGTAAAAATACTCATCTATAAAAACTATATCAAATTACAACCTTTTAACATTAGTTCCCTAAAATGTAGGGTTCCATCAGTTCGGTAGGAATACTTAATAAATATAAGTACGTCTCCCGCATTTACAAGAATTTGTTATATTTTTATGTATCGTTTATACATCGTACGAGGGATGTCTTTTAAGTTGTGCATATGGAAATAAAACAACACGGTAGGTAGTTTTAAATGACTTTATTGTTTTTCGAAGTATTCTCCACAAAGATTAATACACGTCTGCATGCGCTCGAACCAATTTTCGAAGCACTTATTCCACTCGTTTGCTGGCAGATCCAAAACGGCATTTTTGAATGCGTCAACTGCATTTTCTGGTGACTGGAACCTTTGACCACGCAGTCTTTTTTTAATTTTCGGGAAAGTAAAGGAATCTTTAGGACTTAGATCGGGACAATATGGAGGATGGTCTAATAATTCCACGTTTTCTTCCGTTAAATACTGCCTTGTTCTTTGGGCTGTGTGCGAGCTTGCACTGTCTTGGAGGAGGATGATTCTCCCTTCTTCGGGGTTGATTTTTCGAAGCTCGGTGATGACTTTTGGCAAACAAATGGTGGTATACCAATCCTCAGTAACAGTTCTTTGCTCATTAAGAGGAATTGCTGCAATATGACCCGTTTTTGACACAAATGTCGCGACCATCTTTTTCGAAACACTTCGAGAACGGATAACTTTTGTTGGCTTTTCTTCACGTTGGAACACCCAAACAGCCGACTGTCGTTTATTTTCTGGTTCATTACAGTAAATCCACGATTCATCACCACTAACAATGCTGTACACATTTTTTGTGTTTCCGGAATTGAAACGGTCAAGCGTTTTTTGACACCAATTAACCCTGGCTGCTTTCTGCTCTTCAGTTAACAGGTGGGGTATCCAACGAGAACCTAATTTTCTTACTCCTAATTTTTCATGTAAAATTTTTTGAATTGAGGTCTTTGAGATCTTCAATGTCTATCTTCAATAATGAGTTTGCGCACAGAATCGACGTTGTCCAGGGTGACTGCCGTTTTTGGTGCACCCACCCTCGGATCGTCGCTAAGACTCACCCGTCCACGTTTGAATTCTCCATCGCAACGGGAAATTGTCTACTGATGTGGCGCCTCGTTGCCGAAAACAGACAGTAACTCAGCAAGGCATTCTTGTTGCGATAATTGTCTCTGAAAGTTGAAAATGTTCTTGGTTGAGTTCCATTTTTCTAATAACTTGGTGACACTTAAAAATTCACTGTAGTGAGAACACTGCTCGTATTGTTGTGAAACTTTGAATTTAGGTTTACTAAAGAGTGAGAGGTTAAGATTCAGTACTGACGTTCGATCCGCGCGGCCTACTATGTTTATATATGCAAAACTTGAAAGACATCCCTCGTATGCATTTGATCTTGAAATATGCATACATATATGAATAATTAGTTTTGCTTACGTCAATAAAACAGTAACAAAGACCTTATATGAGCTATTCTCGTTTTTTCACACATTACCTGTTTAAATTTGGCATTATGATGTTCAATTCCTCAGAAAACCAATTCACTATTTTCTTACTAATTTCTTTAAAAATCTCATTTTTCTGACTTAAATTCATGCTTTGGGCCGCCAGCACCCCCTGTTAACGCTCTGCGAGCTCCCCCATTCTCAGAATAATGTTTCAACTGGAAGATTGAAGACTTTATGGGTTATGGTTGTTCAACTAACTTACAGATGTCTAGACATCTATTTCAAAAGAACTTGCATTATATAGACTGCCAGATCGTTTCATAGAAAATGCACAGATGTGTCTTTATGTTGCATAAATGTACCCTACTGACTTTTTTTAAAAAAAATGTTTGAAATAAGCGTATAAAGATGCAACTTTTTTCTTTTAGTACCACTTCGTATCTCACTCCGGTTTCGTAGAAAACAAATAGCTTCATTGAACGATACGTAACATTTAAACGCCCTTATATAAAATCTAAAGGATGAAAATTAATAAGAATCTGACAAAATGTATACAAAAACTGTTAAAACCACCTTCCGCTTCATTGCAAGCTTCTGCTCTTAATATTTTGTAAGCCTTGCCACCTCGTATCTCATAAAATAGACCTAGTTGTTTATATGAACATTTCTACTTAAATCTAGTTCTAGAATGCGCCCTTGAATTATTGCACCTGTATATTCATACTTGATTTAGTAACAAAGCTCTTTGTATGTACCACTTACTTGTTCTTTTTGTTTATAGGTGAATTTGATTTTGGTGACAAGGATAACGACATGTCCGACTTCTTGAATTTACAAGAATTCCTGACTATCGCCAAAGAAGAGGACCTCTTTGCTATAGTCCGACCTGGACCTTACATTTGCGCTGAATTTGAGTCCGGAGGCTTCCCCAGCTGGCTGCTACGTGAAAACGACATCGATTTCCGAAATTCCAATCCAACTTATATGAAATACGTAACCAGATGGTTTAATTTACTGCTGCCCATTTTAGCCATGTTTCAGTTCACGCGAGGTGGACCCATTATAGCGTTTCAAGTTGAAAATGAATATGCGTTGTCTGGCAAGCATGATTTGGATTATTTACGGAAATTGAGGCAGTTGATGTTGGATAATGGTGAGACTAACTTTTCCTTTTAACCTCGATCACATAAATATGAGTCATTTTTAATGAAGCATGGCGCCCAAAATGTAAACGCTCATATTTGAGCATTTTTGACTACAACAAAATACCTGTTGACGTCAGATGACGCCAGGTTAGGTTAGGGTTAGGTATTTTGTGAGTGTAACACTCACTGATCTATTGTGACTCACACGTACTTATACATTTCCCAGTAACTTCGCATTATGTCGATTTTTTTGACCTTATACAGGATTTTTGTGACATTATGTTTGTTTTCCTATAAGTTGTCAACTTCGAACTAACTGTTGTTTACTTGCCGTGCACTCGTTGTGTAGCTGTGCGTATTGCCTGAACGTTGTGACGCTTGAGCTACCATTGTTTGGCTCTGGTGTTATGTAACATCTGCTTCAGAGATGGCTTTACTGGAGGTCTAAGCTGTACGCTGAATAGTATATCTGGAAGGAAACAGGCGAAATGGCAGAGCATAGGTTCTTAGTGAGGACTTGTGGGTAAGACTATACTTTAGCGCATATCGCAAATATTTCATTTCTTACTTTAAAATGAAAGATGAGGATGTATCTTTTACGAAAATATCATTTTTTTCTTTAAGTAACCCTCTGATTGCTATTTTATAGAACTTCGAAGTTGCATTTTTGGTGGTAATACTCTAGAATAGAATACTGTTTTATATGCTGTTTTTTTTTGCTTTTTGTACAAAAGGATGTTCTAAATCAGGGCTGTACAACTTAATGTGGCCCAAGGCCCACTTAAAAGAAATGCAGTTTGGAGGGCCGCATTATAAAATCTTTTTATACAACATTATTACCGAGTTTTAATAGGTATATGGTATACAAAAATAGTTTTTCTATTATTTTTATTTATTCAAAAGATATGAAATTACAAAAAAATCAGTGGGACATTTGAGGATGTTGGTTTTCTAATACTAATGCATCAATATTAACATTAATATTTGTTGTTGATAAACGAAGTAACTGAGTAAGTGACTTATCAGAGAGGGAACATCTATACTTTGACTTGATAAATGTTAGAAAAGCTGCTTTCGGATAGATACGTGCTTCCCATCATTGATCCCATTGTAAGTCCTAAGTTTCGCAAGTTCCTGGTAGTAACTTCCTTGGTAAAAAGGATCTGATTGCAAATCACATAATTCCAGTTGAAGGGCTGCTCTGCTTACGTTCTCAACAGAAATTGTTAGAGGCTGAGTATAAACTGAAATGTCGCTTTAGATTTTTTTAAAGTCACTAAATCGATTTTTGAATTCTTCTGCAATTGTGTCAATGTATTTTATATGAGGTAAATATGAAACCTCCTCAAAATCCTTCATTTCTTCGAAATGTTCTTTAAAACTTGGAAAAAATGAAAAATATTTTTTTTTGTAATGAAGACATGAAAAGCTTAATTTTATTCTTAAACTCATTTATGTGTCCAAATAAGTTGGCAATATTCTGCTGTTTCCTTTTAGCTTCAAATTCAATTCGTTAAGGTGAGATGTCATGTCTGTTAAAAATGCAAGGTCTGCTAGAAGTTGTGCATCTGCCATTTGATTTTCCAGTTCTGTAGTTTCGGACTTCACTTCATTTTTAAGGAAAATAGGAATTTCCTTGCGTAGAGCGAAAAATCGTTGCAAACACTTTCCGTCACTTAACCAACGAACATCGGTGTGAAGCAACAAGTCTCCATATGTAGCATCCACTTCGGCCAAAAAATCACGAAGCTTTCTGTGAGTCAAAGCACGATTGCCCCCTCTAACAATATTAGTTATTTTAACAGCCACTTTCATGACATTTATTTGGAGTAAAGATTTTCCACATAAGCTCTCTTGGTGAAAAATACAATGTATCATAGGACAGTTGATGCTGTTTTGTTTCAATAGTCCTGCAAATCCAATTTCAGTCCTTGTCGTAGCTCTGGCGTCATCAGTGACAATACAGGAACATTTATCAAATCCCCCGTAGTCTGAAACCAACTTATTCACAGTTTCAAAAATATCTGTACCCCTGGTTGTACCATGGTGAGGAATAAGGTCAAGCATCTCCTCTGCTACACTGAAGTCGTCTTGAATAGTTCGGATAAAAATTGCAAGCTGGCTAATGTCAGACAGATCAGTGCTTTCATCCAGGCATAGCGAAAAATATTTACATTTTTCAATCACGTCACGCAATTTTTTGGATACATGTTCATTGATATGGTCTTGCAATTGTTTGATGCGATACTGAGACTGTTTCAAATTTTTCGGCAACTTTTAATTCATTGAATTGTTTCGCCATTTCTATTGCACACTTTTTGATAAGCACTCCATCACTAAAAGGTTTTTTTGCTTTGGCAATTTCCAGCGCTATTTTGAAGAGGCGGCAATACTGCACTTGTTATCAGAGTCAGATTTTTTGAAAAAACTTTATTTTACAGGGTGATGCTTATGAAATTTTTGAGGAAAACTACAATTTGCGTTATTTACCACCCTGTATGAGCAAAAATTAGAATTCGAAAAAGTAGCATATAAGATAAAAGCTGAGGTGTGTAAGTTTTTTTTGATACAAAATTCAGCACTCCAAATTTCAAAATGGAGGACTGTGCTGAAGTGGGTTTTTTCTAGACACCTCATACCTCAGTAGCTAATTATCAAAACTCCATACTATGTCATATCAATTTTCTTCTTTTGAATTGGTTTATCCAAATATGCAATAAAATTTGAGGCATTCTACTTAAAAAATCACAACTTTTATATGTAGCTCGAAATTGGGACACCTTTTTTTTTATACTCCAACTACCACGAAGGCTTAAGTACTCATTGGGTACCGTGGGGCTATAGGGGGATACATGGGAAAAGGGGGGACGCCACACGGACTCTGGCGAGGGAACACGTGTGCATGCAACATGCACATATTCTGGCTCCGCCTACGAGAACCGCCGGGTGGTATCTCCGAGTTCGACAATCACAACATCCATAGCCAAGAGAAAAATTTCTCCTGGGACGGGACTAGAACCCGCACAGCGCATGGCGACTGATCAGGAGACCGAAGAGTCTACTACTGCGGCCACCGCTGCTGCCTAAATAATGTCCAATATTTTAGAAATGTGCCCTCAAATGTCATCTATAACATCCCATTGATAGATTTTCCCAAAATGTATTTGTTTAAGAGTAATATTTCGTCCACACATGGATGGGCCACCCTGTATCATATGCGACTGCGGCAGCAGCGATATGCATTGTAGCTGCCCACCTCATGAGACAACGAATTGAAACCGTGAAATAATTTGGTGCCGAAAATGAATCAGGGAGACGGACCAGGGCATGCGTGTGCTCCATATGATGAAGACATATGAAGTGAATGTCAGCTAGTTCAAACGTGACATTGTTTAGAAAAACCTACATAATGTCAGGCAGCAGCGGTGGCCGTAGTAGTAGACTCTTCGGTCTCCTGATCAGTCGCCGTGCGCTGTGCGGGTTCGAGTCCCGTCCCAGGAGAAATTTTTTTCTTGGCTATGGATGTTGTGATTGTCCGTAGGTGGTAGACGGTCTCTGACTGTCGAACGTGGAGGTACCACCCGGCGGATCTCGTAGGCGGAGCCAGAATGTGTGCATGTTGCATGCACACGTGTTCCCTCGCCAGAGTCCGTGTGGCGTCCCCCCTTTCCCATGTATCCCCCTATAGCCCCACGGTACCCAATGGGTGTTTAGGCCTTAGGCCTTCGTGGTAGTTGGAGTTAAAAAAAAAGAAAGAACTAGTGCAGGATCCACTGGCTTACAAGCAATAATTGGTTCTTAAGTCATTCTGATTTTATTCAACGCAGCTTACTTGGTTTTTCTGTCTTGATAGGAATTGATTTTTACAGCATATAAACAATCATATTTCTCATAGGTACTCGTTTAGTAATATGTCACACTGCTCTTTTGATCATGACGCCTTTTGAGTTTTCAATCTAATGGGTGTTTTTTTTTGCTAGTATCTTTTTGGCAACACTGTTTTTGACAGATGACGCGTGAATCGTGTCTTGTGTCATTGTCAAACTTGTTCAGTTTGGTCTATTATTTAACCATGAATCCACTTACGAACGAACAACGCTTGCAAATTATTGAATTTTACTATCAAAATTCATGCTCGGTTAAGAGAGTGCATCGAGCTCTGCTTCCAATTTATGGGCAATTTGGTCGGCCTACTGAGGGAGGACTGACGAAAATATTGCGGCTGTATCCGCCAGTGTTAGTGATGACCGTGAAATGACGATTCACCGCCGTTCGCAGCAATTGGGCCTCTGTTACTCCACTACGTTGAAAATTTTGCGACAGGATTTGGGTGTAAAACCTTATAAGATTCAGCTGGTGCAAGAATTGAAGCCACACGAGCTCCCACAACGTTTCCAATTTGGTGAATGGGCGCTGGCAAAGTTGGAGGAAGATCCACATTTTTATCGAAAAATTGTGTTCAGCGACGAAGCTCATTTCTGGTTGAATGGGTACGTTAACAATCAAAATTGCCGCATCTGGAGTGAAGACCAGCCAGAAGCATTGCAAAAGCTACCAATGCATCCCAAAAAAATCACTGTTTGGATTATGGGCCGGTGGCATCATCGGGCCGTACCTCTTCAAAGACGACAATAGCCGGAACGTAACTGTGAATGGCGAGCGCTACCGTGCGATGATAACAAACTTTTTTTTGCCCAAAATGGAAGAGCTGGACTTGGCTGACATGTGGTTTCAACAAAACGGTGCCACATGCCACACCGCATACGAAACAATGGCCCTATTGAGAGGCGAGTTCGGTGAACAGTTTATCTAACGTTTGGGGCCCGTCAATTGGCCGCCTAGATCGTGTGATTTAACGCCGTTGGACTATTTCTTGTGGGGCCATGTTAAGGCTAATGTCTACAGGGATAAATCAGCAACGATTGACGCACTGGAAGCCAACATTGAAGCATTTATTCGTGAGATACCGGCCGATATGTTGGAGAGAGTGTGCCAAAATTGGATCTTG